ACAGTCGGTCTAGTATCAGGAATTGATTGAATTGTTTATTTGAATGTATTTGAATGTACTTACATATGAAAACGTATGTTATTTCTGGAATTAAATTACATAAGCTTACCCTGTGTTTCCTTGTGTTGTCTTGTTGTACGTCCGTCTTGTCTTTGCAATGATCGTCCGTGTGGATGTGAGCAGATGGAAGCGCGCTACTTGAAGAGGCGCTGGAAGAAGAAAATTTGGAAGACGCGAACCTCGTATACGTTGAAGTAAAGGCCGAACAGTAGGACGTTCGGTTGTAGTTAGTAGTTTAGTATGAAGTGACCGTTCGGTCACTTTCTTTTCTTTTTGTAATTTGACCTATCGGTAATTTGACTTTTGTAAGCCGTTCGGTCATGTTTCCCTTGAATCTTGTACAGTTTACTTTTTGCAAGCTATGTAAGGCCGTTCGGCCAGAAGCTTTCGTTGGTTTAGTATAAAATTGAATTAGTTTATCATTAAATGTAATTAATTCTATTATATGGTTTTACTATATTTTTGGGATGTTACATTAGTGGTATCAGAGCAATTTTGTTCTTTTAAGGACACTGTAGGTTATGAGTGCACTATGTTTTTTTGCTGTGTACTTAATGTCCGTTTGATGAGTTATTCTAAACTCTTTGAACTTAACTAACGACCGTTTTTCTCTGTTTCTTTCAGAGAACAAATGGCACCCATACCTCCTCCTCAACCTCAAACCACCGAGCGTGATGCGTCCGACAACACTAGGTTGTTGGAATCAGTAATAGACAGGCTACAGCAGCAGAACGCTGCCTTGATGCAGTAGAACGCGACTGCTTTACAGAGTTTGGAAGCAGCTCGCGCAAACCCTGAAGCGACCCAAAGGCAATTGATGGAGATCATTGCCGCTACCAGGAATACACCGGGAGCGTCCTCTTCCAACGTTACCCACCAGGCTGAGTGGAGCTTGGAGAGTTTCCTTCAGCATCACCCCGCAAAATTCAGTGGGAAATGCCTTCCTGACGAGGCTGATTAGTGGCTGAGAGATATGGAACGGATATACAACGCCAAGAGGTGTCCGGACGAAAACAGGTTGGCGTTCACTGAATATATGCTTACTGGAGAGGCCAGTCATTGGTGGACGAGCATGAAGGCGATATTGACAGACGCCCAAAGCCCCATCTCGTGGGAAGTATTCAGGAGCAATTTTTATGAGGAGTACTTCCCAGATAGCGTGCGTTTCGCCAAGGAAGTGGAATTCCTTCAACTGGTGCAAGGCGGAATGTCCGTTTCTGAATATACAAATAAGTTCAAACATCTCGTTTGTTTCAATACCATGGCTACAAGTGAAGAATGGCAGTGTCGGAAGTTTGAGAATGGACTGAGAAGTGAGTTGAAGCTGCTGATCTCCAGTTTGTGTATTAGATCATTTCCCGCTATGGTTGAAAGAGCGAAGGTGTTGGAGAAGAACGTAGCTGAGGTAGAGCAACAGAAGAAACAACAAGTGGCTAGAGGGCCGATCTTGTCTAGAAACAATGCGAATCCGAGAAGGACACCTTACGTTCATCCAGCACAATCATCAAATCATAGTGGATCGCAAGCATTGGTTGCTGTCGGGCAGTCTGGGCAGCAGGGGAATGTGACTTGTTTTCAGTGTGGAGGACCACATTACCGTTCGTCATGTCCTCAACTAGTGGGAGGAAAATACTGCACTCGTTGTAGGAGGAACGGACATCTGGAGAATGAGTGCAACATGGGAGGACGAGCGGTGATGAGACCACCGAACGCTGGAAGGAATCAACCGAGAGGTGGAGGTAGAGCTCAAGCGGTTGGACGTGTATATGCCATAATAGGGGCAGAGGCAGCAAGCTCAGGTACACTCATCACCAGCACCTGCTTAGTATATGGAATACCCTGTTGTGTGTTATATGATTCGGGGGCGACACACTCCTTCATCTCGAAGGCGTGCGTTGAGAAACTGGGGTTAGCTGAGAGCGAGATGCAGTTTGACTTGGCGGTGTCAACCCCAGCGGCTGGTGAGGTTAGGACGTCTACAGTCTGTGTTAGATGTCCTATTGAGGTAGAAGGGCGTAGGTATAAGATGAACCTTATATGTTTACCTCTCAAGGAGTTAGAGGTGATCTTAGGAATGGATTGGCTGACTACCAATCGCATTCTCATAGACTATGGTGCTAAGGAATTGGTCTTTTTTGAGGAAGATGAAGAAGTGTTATCTGTGACGCTCGGTCAACTAAAGGAGGACATCATGGAAGGCGCCAGCTGTTTTCTGATAATGACTCACGAAGACAAGGAGGTTTGAGAAGTGAATTTTGAACGATCGTTCAGTAACAAGTTCAGTGGAGGACGATCGGTTGTGGATGAGTTCCCGGACGTCTTTCCGGAAGAAATACCTGGACTACCTCCTACTCGCGAGGTTGAGTTCACGATCGACTTGGTGTCAACGGCGGCACCCATTTCTGTTGTGCCCTATCGTATGTCGCCTGCGGAGTTAGCTGAACTCAAGAAGCAGATTGAAGATTTGATGGACAAGCAGTTCATCAGGCCGAGCGTATCACCCTAGGGAGCGCCTGTTCTATTGGTGAAAAAGAAAGATGGCAGCTCTCGGCTTTGCATTGATTACAGACAATTAAACAAGCTGACCATCAAAAATAAGTACCCACTGCCAAGGATAGATGATTTGTTGGATCAACTGCATGGGGCCTCAGTGTTCTCGAAGATTGACTTGCGATTTGGATATCATCAAATCAGAGTTAAGGAGGAAGACGTCCAGAAGACTGCTTTCAGATCTCGTTACGGACACTACGAGTATGTAGTGATGTCGTTCAGTGTGACGAACGCACCAGCAATCTTCATGGACTACATGAATCGCATATTCAGACCGTACCTGGGCAAGTTTGTGGTCGTCTTCATCGATGATATCCTCATCTACTCTAAGACCCAGGACGAACATGAGGAGCACTTGAGAACTGTACTTGGCGTATTGAGGGAGAAGGAGTTGTACGCCAAGTTATCCAAATGTGAGTTCTGGATGAAAGAAGTTCAATTCTTGGGGCACGTGGTGTCGGCTGGAGGTATCTCAGTGGATCCAGCCAAGGTACGAGCGGTATTGGAATGGGAGAGTCCCCGTTCAGTCACTGAGGTTCGCAGCTTCGTGGGACTTGCGGGCTACTATAGGCGTTTTATTGAAGGATTTTCTAAGATAGTAGCCCCGCTTACTCAGCTGACCAGGAAAGATCAACCGTTCACATGGACCGATCGGTGTGAAGCGAGGTTCCAAGAATTGAAGAGGAAGTTAACGAGCGCCCTAGTGTTGGTCATTCTTGACACGACCAAACCTTTCGAAGTGTATTGTGATGCATCTCATCAAGGTTTGGGCTGCGTTCTTATGCAAGAGAAAAGGGCAGTGGCGTATGCTTCTCGGCAGCTGAAGGTACACGAGAAGAACTATCCGACGCACGACCTGGAATTGGCAGCGGTCGTCTTTGCACTGAAGATTTGGAGGCATTACCAGTATGGATCTACGTTCCAAGTCTTCAGCGATCACAAGAGTCTCAAGTACCTCTTTGATCAGAAGGAGTTGAACATGAGGCAAAGGAGGTGGCTTGAGTTCTTGAAAGACTATGAGTTTGAACGGCTGTATCATCCGGGGAAGGCTAATGTGGTGGCGGACGCTTTGAGCAGAAAATCAGTTCGTGTCTCGGCAATGATGGTCAGAGAATTAAGTTTGGTGGAGAGTTTCAGAGATCTAAGGTTACAGTTCAATTTAGAACCGAACAACATTAAATGCTGTAACCTTAGAATATCCAGTGACGTATTCGACCGGATCAGAGTAAAGCAGCGAGCGGATGAGGATTTGGTAAAAATATTAGGCGCGCTCGGTACAGATCAAGCTAAGGACTTCAACACTGGAACAGACGGCCTCTTACGCTATATGGGTAGGACGTGCGTTCCAAACAATGGAGATCTGAAGAGGATTATCCTGGAGGAAGGTCATCACAGCTGTCTTAGCATACACCCTGGTGTGACTAAGATGTATCAAGATCTCAGGAAATCCTTCTAGTGGCCGGGAATGAAGAATGATGTCGCACGTTTTGTGGCATCATGCCTAACTTGTCAACGTTCAAAGGCTGAGCATCAGAGGCCGGGCGGCTTACTGCAGCAGTTGGAGATTCCTGAATGGAAGTGGGATAGCATCTCGATGGACTTCGTGACCCACTTACCCCGCACAGTCAAGAATCACGATTCCATTTGGGTAATAGTGGATCGACTCACAAAGAGCGCACACTTCCTAGCGGTCAAATTGAAGATGTCAATGACGAAGCTTGCTCAGCTCTACATCAATGAGATCGTTCGTTTACACGGAGTACCGTCGAGCATAATCTCTGACCGAGACACAAGATTTACATCTCGGTTTTGGCAATCTTTGCAGAACGCACTGGGCAGTAAACTTCAAATGAGCTCGGCGTATCACCCTCAGACGGACGGCCAATCCGAGAGAACCATCCAGACGCTTGAAGTTACTGAGGACGTGCGTCCTAGACCACATGGGCATCTGGGATGAAGTCTTGTCGTTAGTGGAGTTCACCTACAACAACAGTTTCCAGTCCAGCATTGGTATGGCTCCCTTTGAAGCTCTCTACGGACGGAAGTGCCGCACGCCACTTTGCTGGTTTCAAGAAGGAGAGAACGTATTGACTGGACCTGAGCTCATCCAACAGATGACCGAGAAGGTGAAATTAATCCAAGAAAGGCTGAAGACGTCGAGGAGCAGGCAGAAGTCCTACACGGATAAAAGAAGAAGGCCATTAGAGTTCAATGCTGGAGAGCACGTTTTCCTCAGGCTAAATCCGATCACGGGAGTAGGCAGAGCCATGCGACCCAAGAAGTTATCCCCAAAATTCGTCGGACCTTATCAAATATTGAGGAAGATCAGACCAGTGGCGTACGAGTTATCCTTACCTCCTCAACTGTCCAACCTTCATCCAGTCTTCCATGTTTCCCAACTCCGAAAGTACGTAGCCGACCCCTCGCACATACTGGAGTTGCAAGACGTTCGTCTCCGTCAAGACCGAACGCTGGAGATGCAGCCAGTTCGCGTGGAAGACAGTGACACCAAATACTACAAGAGGAAAGCCGTTCGTTGGGTGAAAGTGGTCTGGAACGAAAAGACTGGCGACTCTACATGGGAAGTGGAGAATGCCATGAGGGACTTGTATCCTCACTTATTTCCGGGTAAGTTTTAATTTTCGAGGACGAAAATTTTTGTAGTTAGGGGGAATGTCAGGCCTCATTAAATGCACCCAAAACCCCTGCTCAGATGCATTAAAAANAGGTTTTTTACTTGGTCAATTTCAAGCTGAAATCCCAAAGTTTCTTGGCCAAATCAGCATCAGTCCCAAGTGAGGTTGGTTGGGCAACATTACTCTCTGAAAAATACTTGCCGCTAACTCCCTTCACTTGTGGGTGTAATGCTACATAGCATGTTGTTGCTGCTCCCTGCATTACAAGGTCAACAAGCAAGGTCAGAAGATTCTCATACTAGAGGACACTATATCCTTATGGACATTATATCTAGGTGAATTGTCAGTTATCTTCAGGTTAATTTCATAATAAACGTTTTAAATTGTATTGGATATAATTAAGAACAAATAAATATTTGGCATCTCAAATGAGTATTTGTGATCATGAAAAAAAGATGGGGTCTAGAATAATGCCCTAAATCACAGCATGTCAATGTCTAACATTTATAATGATGTACCTGCGGGACGTTTTTAAAAACGAGTCTACCAATAACATTAATTATACCTGCACAAATCAAACAGAAATATGTACATGAAACTCAGCTAGTCATTATCTCAAATGAAAAAATGAACAAAATTCTTAGAAATGAATTGATATTTAAAACTAAAAAGACCATTTCCAAGTGACCATGAGAAGTGCTTCACATGAATGCTCAAACTTTTCTTTAGTATGCCCGTATTCAAAATTCAGTAGGGCTGACTTATAAAACACTTGATCATGGACCTGATGTAAGCATCAACGTTGAACAAGACATGGAGCAGTTGTAGACCTATAACTAATTTGAAGAAAAAAAGATATCAAACATGTTGATACAGTGTTAATGGAAAATGAAAATCTAGATACACCCTATATTTGTAATCATAACAGAACAATATGGGGAGAGAAGCTATGCTGCTGAGTTTGCTAGTTAATTAGACCTAGCAAAGAGGTTATTAGGATCACCCCATAAACTAGCTCAAGGCCTTATAAACCCCAAGTCAGTTTGCTGAGGAGTTGATTCTAGAACAATAAGAGCATTGTTTCTTTCATTCGAATAAAAATGTTTACTACCAATTATCATTCTTGGTATTGGTTTTTCATAGATATTTGTGTACCAAATTTATGACATAAACACAATGCACACATATACGAGCTTACTGCATTTTAAAAGGAAATTAAAAGTAAATAAACAAGAAAATGCAGAATAAATGATTTAGTAGAGCAAATCTCAGGACCTATACAATTCTTAGACAGGACATGAATAGTACAATGCCATAGTTACCGTTTATTGGAGTATGACAGAAAAGATTGGTGGTAATTGCTCCAGGATGAAGAGAATTTGCAGAAATCTCCACCCCATNTTCCGGGGAGGAACGACTCATGTATTGAATATTGGAATTGGTAAAGTATGACTGTGGTTACGCTAATGCTGGCAGTTCATCCTGATGTTCCGTGAGTACTCGTCCTCACGTAGAGGAGGGTAGGTCATGTGTGGGAACGGCAGGAGGTCCTAGTCCTTAGGGGTACTTTGGATAGGGCTAGCCTCGGGTGGCAACTGTTGAGTGTATCCCAGTTACTACATCACCCGGGTGCAAGAACGCCTGTAGCTACACAGATTCATATAGTCCGAACAGTCGGTCTAGTATCAGGAATTGATTGAATTGTTTATTTGAATGTATTTGAATGTACTTACATATGAAAACGTATGTTATTTCTGGAATTAAATTACATAAGCTTACCCTGTGTTTCCTTGTGTTGTCTTGTTGTACGTCCGTCTTGTCTTTGCAATGATCGTCCGTGTGGATGTGAGCAGATGGAAGCGCGCTACTTGAAGAGGCGCTGGAAGAAGAAAATTTGGAAGACGCGAACCTCGTAGACGTTGAAGTAAAGGCCGAACAGTAGGACGTTCGGTTGTAGTTAGTAGTTTAGAATGAAGTGACCGTTCGGTCACTTTCTTTTCTTTTTGTAATTTGACCTATCGGTAATTTGACTTTTGTAAGCCATTCGGTGATGTTTCCCTTGAATCTTGTACAGTTTACTTTTGGCCTATCGGTAATTTGACCTATCGGTAATCTTGTACAGTTTATTTAAACACTTCTATTAAAACTCAAGGTGATGAATATTTATGTTATTATATTGATAATCTATTATTGTACTGCATTCTCGTTACATTCTGTTAGTGCAAACACATGTACTACATGTATTTTTTATTATTATTACAAGTAATTAAGTTTAAACAAATATTAATTTAAAAAGAATAAATGATAACATAATTGTTAACACCTAAATTTGTCCGCATAAACTTTTTTTTAAACACCCAAAAATTTGTAATAAATAGAAAAGGGTGAAATAAGAATTTCTTAAAAACTTAAGAAAAATATAACAAAAAAAATTGTTAATTAAAAATTTTAGATTAAAATTTAATTAAAATAGAAAATATGATTTTTTTTGCTAAAGAATTATGAATAAAAAAAAGAAGGGTTAAATATGATTTTCGTCCCTTAAGTATCATACGATTTTGGGTTTAATCCATACTCGAAACTTTGATGGTTTTTAGTCCTCGTAGTTTTAAAACTCTTACTATTAGTCCTTAAAATTGGACGGCGTTAACTTTTAGTAGATGTGGCAAACGGCGAGGCCATGTCTTATGTCAGTTTGCCTCTTCACTCTCTGCCACGTTGCTTGTGCTTGAGAACTTCGTTCGTCTTCTCCGGCAGAGCCTAGCCTCCATCAGACCAGCCGTCGTGTCGGACCTTCTGTTCAGTCCAAGACGTCGCCGGCGACACCAATCGCCACCGGGACCATTGTCGGCCGCAGCGTCGATTTCTCCTTCCTTGCCTTTTCTCCACGCGTGAAGGAGAAGCTCTCTCGTTCCTCCGCCAATCGCCGCCTGAGAGAGCCCAGCCTCCGCATTCCATTGACAAATAATACCTAGGTTTTTTACTTGGTCAATTTCAAGCTGAAATCCCAAAGTTTCTTGGCCAAATCAGCATCAGTCCCAAGTGAGGTTGGTTGGGCAACATTACTCTCTGAAAAATACTTGCCGCTAACTCCCTTCACTTGTGGGTGTAATGCTACATAGCATGTTGTTGCTGCTCCCTGCATTACAAGGTCAACAAGCAAGGTCAGAAGATTCTCATACTAGAGGACACTATATCCTTATGGACATTATATCTAGGTGAATTGTCAGTTATCTTCAGGTTAATTTCATAATAAACGTTTTAAATTGTATTGGATATAATTAAGAACAAATAAATATTTGGCATCTCAAATGAGTATTTGTGATCATGAAAAAAAGATGGGGTCTAGAATAATGCCCTAAATCACAGCATGTCAATGTCTAACATTTATAATGATGTACCTGCGGGACGTTTTTAAAAACGAGTCTACCAATAACATTAATTATACCTGCACAAATCAAACAGAAATATGTACATGAAACTCAGCTAGTCATTATCTCAAATGAAAAAATGAACAAAATTCTTAGAAATGAATTGATATTTAAAACTAAAAAGACCATTTCCAAGTGACCATGAGAAGTGCTTCACATGAATGCTCAAACTTTTCTTTAGTATGCCCGTATTCAAAATTCAGTAGGGCTGACTTATAAAACACTTGATCATGGACCTGATGTAAGCATCAACGTTGAACAAGACATGGAGCAGTTGTAGACCTATAACTAATTTGAAGAAAAAAAGATATCAAACATGTTGATACAGTGTTAATGGAAAATGAAAATCTAGATACACCCTATATTTGTAATCATAACAGAACAATATGGGGAGAGAAGCTATGCTGCTGAGTTTGCTAGTTAATTAGACCTAGCAAAGAGGTTATTAGGATCACCCCATAAACTAGCTCAAGGCCTTATAAACCCCAAGTCAGTTTGCTGAGGAGTTGATTCTAGAACAATAAGAGCATTGTTTCTTTCATTCGAATAAAAATGTTTACTACCAATTATCATTCTTGGTATTGGTTTTTCATAGATATTTGTGTACCAAATTTATGACATAAACACAATGCACACATATACGAGCTTACTGCATTTTAAAAGGAAATTAAAAGTAAATAAACAAGAAAATGCAGAATAAATGATTTAGTAGAGCAAATCTCAGGACCTATACAATTCTTAGACAGGACATGAATAGTACAATGCCATAGTTACCGTTTATTGGAGTATGACAGAAAAGATTGGTGGTAATTGCTCCAGGATGAAGAGAATTTGCAGAAATCTCCACCCCATCTTCCTGTTCAAGATGAAACAGGCAAAATTTCATACAAAAAAAAACATCAAATGTGGCAAAAACAAAGTGACATTTTTACTAACCCTACAAAGTAAAAGAAAGCCACTGAAAAGCAGAATAAGAAAGTAACACAATGATCCACGATTGCATTTGCATAACCAACAGGTATTAGGAAAGATGTATTGTGAAAAAGAAAAATACTCTTAAAATTAAGTAATTCTATATTAGATCCTAAATAACTTTATAGCTTCCGAAATAATATGTAAATTACACTAATATAGAGGAGAAGCCAGCTCACCCTGAGACGCCTTGAAAGTTCATTCGCATGTAAAAGGTTGGCAAGCTTTGACTGCCCATATGCACCCCAGGCTCTGTAATTGAACACAACGAAGCAAACATAATTAAATATGCATGTCATATAACAGTTTTCCAATTGACAAACACTAGAGGTACATGAATCATGTTTTCGTGCTTAATTTTTTCAAGAAAATTAAAGTGAATCAATTGTTTCAGCTGTAAAGAAGGAAGCAAAATTATCGAATATGCATAACACTTCTCATTTCAACAAGTACTACAATAATCATGTCTCTATTCTTAATGCAATAAATGCAACTAAGAAGTGCATAGAGTCTATAATTATATCCATGAGCATTTGATCCTGTTGAATGTATAACTGTTTGAGCAAATTAACAAACAGAATGCATTAGACTTTGTATTATTTTATTTTAAATAAAAGTTATGTAAATTGATAGGATAAATATGTTTTATCCTATTTTTTAGACATTATCTTTTATCAGTTTGCTAACTGATAGTTTTTCTGTTTTGGTCACGTTCTATAAATATGTTGATTTACACAGGAATAAAAACAGGCACTCTGCACATTCAGTTTCTGACAAAGAAAAATAATAATCAATGCAGTGACTCACCTAAAACTAAAAACAGCTTGGCCTAACTCAAATTGACCATAAGCCAGTTTATTCTCTGTATTTTGATATAATATATAACTCACCTTTTATACTGTTCATGGTGCTATTCTCTGCCGGGCAGCCAAGCCAGCATGGTAATACACTGTTTTGATCTTGCATTTCTCATTGAAAAATTTAGAGACCTCAACACATTCACTTTTTAAAGGCACTAAACAATTCCACATTGATTCCTGAAGCGATCAATTAGTAGCTGTCCGAGCTTCTTTAATGGTTCCTTTGTCTTGTCAATTACTTCATACTTCAAATTTAGTCTGTCAAAGCTTCTTTCAAGAACGAGTGCATGGGGAATTCTTAGAGCATTTAATATGTCCTGAAAAATAAAAATTATTTAAAGGTGAAAAAGGGGCGAAAAAACTCAATAGAAATGCTCATCACAGTGACTTGATACTCTGACCAGTTGTCGAGGACGGCGTCGGCGGTGACCATCCTGGTTTGTGGCTCGCGGAGGTTGGGCTCTCTCAGGCGGCGATTGGCGGAGGAACGAGAGAGCTTCTCTCTCGCGCGCAGAGAAAAGTCAACGAGGGAGAAATCGACGCCGCGACCGGCAATGGTCCCGATGGCGATTGGTGTCGCCGGCGACGCCTTGGACTGAGCAGAAGGTCCGACACGGCGGCTGGTCCGATGGAGGCTAGGCTCTACCGGAGAAGACGAACGAAGTTCTCAGGCCCAAGCAACGTGACAGAGAGTGAAGAGACAAGCTGGCATAAGACGTGGCCTTGTCGTTTGCCACATCTACTAAAAGTTAACGCCGTCCAATTTTAAGGACTAATAGTAAGAGTTTTAAAACTACGAGGACTAAAAACCATTAAAGTTTCGAGTAGGGACTAAACCCAAAATCGTGTGATACTTAAGGGACGAAAAATATATTTAACCCAAAAAAGAAAGAGAAGAATAAGAGAAAACAAATAAAAATAAGAAGATAAAAAAAATAGAAACAAAAAGACCAAGTCCATTTTGTTTGCCCAACTTTTCTTAAAAAGAAAGAATAAAAAGAAAAAGAAAGTCCAATCTTTTCAATACACCCACCCATTTTTCTTTTTAAGCATTCTTCTCAGCTAGAAACTGTTAGTGGAAAACCAACTATAAGGCATGTGCGGATCACACGTAACAAGTGATAAATATCATTTTCTTCCAAGAGACTTATGCAACACTTCACAACTCTTGCACTAAATAACTTCATTAGACCACAAAGTTCACAAAAAGACAAATTAAACTACTTTTTTATTTTTATCAAATAGTTGGTGTGCAACAAGAAATTTAACATAGATCATTTAAGAATTATTGAGACTAGAGTTCAACCATTTTATTCTCATGCATTGACAAACATCTCAATTCCATATTCATGTCAAAATCAACTCAAAAACATACTCAAATCATATCCCTAGTGACTTTTAGCCTATGATAACTTATTAAGTTTCGATCCCTTGAATCCTCAACAAGTAACTATGCATTAAGTTTAAGAGTCTAAAATTACTAATGAATAAAGTTCTATTTCTAGATACAAGCATCCATTATGCATTCAATTTCAAGTTTAGATTCTAAAGATAATTCCCAACGCCTCAAGAATCTCAATCAAGCATGGTAACAATCCACATCAAGTATTAAGAATGAAAATTGAATACTAACATGAATTGAAAACATATATCATTAATAGTACAAAATTACACAATAGTTATATGTTTTACAACTAATCTTAAAAAATACGAAAATCCCTCCATGGTGGAGAACTTAAAGTTCTACAAATTGAAAAGATAAGGAAGAAATTGAAACCAAAGAGAGATGCATGCCCTTCCCCAAGGTTCTTTGCTTCTACTCCATACTCCAGTCATGCTTCCTCTTTGCATTTCCATTTCCAATTTATGACCCATCTTCCTCCTCAAACCTAAAGGGGGACAATCACCATGGATGAAGGAGGAAACCCCAGGAGGAGAAGGAGATCTTCCTAGTACTCCAAACAACCTTCAAGATTCTCTCCCAAGTACCCTACGTGATTATATTAGTGTAAAAATGAGGAATGCCCAAAACCCTCGCGAAAACATGATTAAATACCCATTTTCGCATACCAGGGCTGACATACTCGCCCAACGGATTCATTCTCACCTAGAGAGGCCTAAAAATCAATTCTCTTTGAGTTGTAACTCGTTGGGCGAGCCATCTTTTTGCCTATCGATTCAAAAACTACAAGTTTGGGCTGTCATTTTCGCTCAACGAGTAGCCAGGTCGCCTAACGAGTCAGCCTGGCGCCCAATGGTGACTTTTTCATTTTTTGGGAGCAGTCCATGGCCATATAACCTTTTAGGTGAGTCTTTTCTTTATGTTTACAGTGTTGGGTGTCATTCTAGTGCCCCTAGAGTAAGTATTTGTCAAAATATCATTTTTTCTAATCCAATCGTGCTTCCCTCAGTTCCAACTTGTTTTCCTCCACTAGAATGACTTTTCCTATAACTTTATTTTTCATACTCAAAGAGAGATTAAAGGTAAAACAAACATATACTAACTAAAACAAAAGAAAACAAGAAGACACATTGAACTTAGGGATAAAATAAGGTAAAAGCTACAAAGGAATTGATCCATTCACAAAAATATACACATAAAAACACATAAAATTAATTGTTATCACTCTCACACACTTAAAACCTTATTTGTCCTCAAGAAAAAGGTAACTTGGCTTAGAAAAACGTCTACTCAACAAAGGTCAAATAACTGAGAAACAAGTTCACGTAATTAAATTAGATAATATTCGTGAATGATCTTCTTTAAAGTCCAATTCAAAGAGAATATGTGAAACCTTACAAATCCTTAGCTATAGTGGTCACAATGCCAATATCATAAGAATAAATGTACATGTTTTATGAGAGACAAACAATCACGACAAACATGTTTTCATTGATCAATCAAATGAACTAATCCTCACTAGAAAAAGTGTTTCAATCAAGCACCCTAGTGTATAAGGGTGTCATTCTCTCATTTACCACTAATTGCACACAATTTGACTTTGCTTTTCATTTCAAGGGCCAAAAGTTATAAAAAAAACATACAAACATGAAAAAGGACTTTATTTGGTGGTGTGACTAGTTTAGGAAATAAATTAGGTGTATTTGGGTAACATGAATGAGTAGAGAGAGCAATTACATAAAATTCACAAACTGATCATCCAATTATCTTCTAATTGAAATCTAGAACACAACCAATCACCAGTTTACAATCAAATTATTCAATTTTTTTTCCTTTTTCTCTTTTTTCTCTTTTTCTTTTTCTTTTTCTTTTATATTAGACATATATACAAGAAGTCATCACATCAACCACACCAATTCACAAATGTTATCCATGCTTCCCTTATCATGATAACTCCCCCCACATTTGAATCACACAAATGACCATGAAACATTTGCTTTCTCCACTTAAGGTGAAGTTGTAAATATTTTCAACAACGTTCATGGGTTCAAAATGTCAACAAGATGTTTTCTTAACGCTCCAAGGGTTACACAAGGGTTATTATCTCTGAAAATACAATTGACTATTTTGGGTGTATGATGCAAAGATGGAAATAAATATGACTTTGTTTCAATGTAAGCATCCAATTAAGAACTTTAGCAATGAAAATCAAGCAAAGTTAATTGTAATCTAAAAGTGGTAGCTCTCAATAAATATAAACTATGAGGGACAAAATCTCACCGGTTTGATTCTTTAGTTTCCTAAGGTTGTCATACAACATGCCACAATCATCAACTGTAGTAAAAACAATAACAACAATCTTGAAATACCCACACGAGAACAACCGCAAGCATAAGTTTTCACTAAATCACAACATATTCTCAATGTATTTCAAAATCAATTTATGAGCAAATACAAATGGTTCTCCTTAAAGTCATGCAAAACTCACTCAAAGTCATGAAACCAATGCATTCATATTTGCTAGACCAACCAAGTCATACTTATTATCAGCACTTAGGAATCAAAACAAAAAAGAGAAAGAAAAACAAACTATTGTTTTTGGGTGAGCACTCCTGCTACTCATGTTTCTCTGCTCCTTGTAACTTCTTCCTCATCATCATCAATACTTAACACTCCCAAGAATAAAAAAGATACTCGAACAAATAAGTTAGCCCAATTTTTTTTTTATAGAAACAAAGATTTGAGAATTGAAAACATAAACATAAAAATAAAAAAGAGAATTAAAAGACAAAAACATAAAAATACACAAAGAAAGGAAAAATTCATAACATAAACACAAGCAACATAAGCACACTAACCAAATAGGAATTCCAATACGTAGAATGATTAAGATATATTTCCCAAATAACCTCACTCAGATCCCTCTTCATGCAAGATTACTTAGTACTCTCAAAAGGTGATGATTACTACTTTTCTTGTTCTCTAAAGTAAAGACACTCAGATTCCTCTTGTTGCGCCTATCTAAGCTTGACACACC